TATTTGGTAATAGATTCATCCTTTATTACATTGATTTGTAGAATTATACTTTATTTTAATGTAAAGCCGTGGTATAACTTCGGTCGAGCCGGCCCTTCACTGCCGAAATATGGTTCTACGACGTCTAAATTCTATATTATCTTTGCTCAGTGTTTAAAGGGCCGAATTGTGCAAAACTGAATAGATGCACAGGTAGTTATAACAATAAAAAACAGAGGATTATGGATAACAAAGAAAAATTAAAAAGGTAATCTTATTGTTTTTGTTTTTTTGTTTGTGTTTAAGTAATCGGATTAGCTATTGTTTGTGAAGTTGGGGTGGGATTAGGTTTGAAAGGAATATTTGCTTGCTTCCTTCCTATTTCCTGCTTGTAGATTTTTATGATTCGGAAGTATTCATTAGTACCTATTGTGTTAACGTAGGTGTGACAAATATAAGTAAATTTCATGATTATTTTAAATGTTGAATTATGGAATGGATCTGTTTTAGCAATTTTGATGGATTCTGTTTATTGTATAAAGATTCTTGAATGTTATCAGTTGCCAGTTTTAATTTTTGGAATAGAAAAAAGTAATTACTTAGGAATATAATGGGGTAAGGAAAAGTTCTGGGGGAAACCAAATTGCGTGATTCTTCTTCAATAAGCTATATAAAATAGCTTAAGATTTAATTTTTTTTTGTTGACGTTCAAAAGTTCATTTCTAGTCTAATCGAAATACATGTTTTTGACTTTGACTTTGACTTCTGCACATCTTTTATTCAACAAAATCTATTCAACAAATGATTATCAATATCAATAAAACTAGCATTCTTCCTTTAGGTAATAACTTCTATATTAATAACTGACAAAAATCTGAAGCCGCAAACATACACTTGACAAAAGTGACGGTTCAATGAACAAGGCACCATTTATATCAACTCCAACCGTCAAATAACTCAATATAAATATCATCAAACAAGTTATTCTCATTACGAACAAAACCCATGATTGTTCACACCATTACTTAACCGACACATACTAACACCGAATTCTAGACTCAACAAGGTGTCTAGTGGCTTTGCCTTACTTCCTCAACAAAACCAGCATAACCACCACCCATCTACAAGCAAAACCAACCTTAACATCTACAATTCAAAGTTCAAATTCACTTACACAAGCTTCAAAGGTATGCAATATGAAGATTAAACGTTATGATTTGGAGGCTATAGTTCATATTTGGTTGTCCAAGTTTATTAGATACATCGGTTAGCTTTTAACGTTTATTTGTTTGAGTCGGTACCTTTGATATCAGGTACAAAGGGCGCCGGCTGTGTCGTGTGTCCTCAGCCCACCTGACCGGTGTTTGGCTTCGAAATAGACGCTTGCCATACCTTATGCCGATGTTAGGACTTTATGTTTAGGAGTTTATGGTGATAGGCATATGATGTGTATAGTGAGTTCATAAATGGTACTGCGGTTCGTGATCATGTGGTTTGTATTAAATGTGTTTTAGAGGGCTTGGTGCTTATGTTGCGTGATTTTGGTGAGGTAGGAATACCTCAGTCCTTTTTAGTCTTTTTGGTCTAAAACTAGCCATCATAAGGTTTCACCTCGTCGTCAAAAAATGAGGGTACGACTATCGAGATAGGGTAAGTTCGTCTGTTCGTGTCCACCCTACTAAAGTTGGCATGTTCACGTCCATTTTCCGGATCGCATAAAGGTCAAATATAAATACTATTTATTATAGTGATAGTTTTTTTTATTTTCAGAGATTTTTAAAGGGCCTTCTGTAAAATGGACGCGACGTGGTGGGTGGACGTAAATAGGTGGAATAACCCTATCTTTATAGTGGGATTGTTGTTACTACTGACTTGTTCATAACCCTATAGGTTCAATTCCAAGGTTAGGAACCGCTACCGAAGTGGAGAATGTTTGACTGATAAGACAGCATCTGGAATAATATTATTCATTATTAAACCGCACTTATTTAGGTTAAATCATAATGGCGGTTTTGAATTATTTTTTTATATTATTCCATCGTAGCCTGCATCATTGCTCCAGGCGAGATGGTGGACAAGCATAGACCTGCCAAATATACATAAAAAACTATACACAATACTATCATTAATTTATTACATATACTAATATGTCGATGTTGATGCCTGTACAATCATAAATTTCACACAAATAAATACACATCACTTGAAGGCCCGAAACAATAAGTCACAACGTTACACATAAATCGGAAAATCGGTATTTCTTAGAAAATACTCATATGTAGTATCATAATGACATGTGTGACGAAAAATACCATTCCTAAAAAATGTGGTAAAATTTTAAAAATACCTATTGTTCACTCTATCGAATAATGGTTTAACCACACATTGGCAGGTAATCTGTATGGCATTTTATGCACATTTTTTTAAACTTTAACCTTCATATGACACATAGATTTTATGGATTACCAAATATTAATAACAAATATTGCAATTTTCTCGAGACCTAGGTATACCAGGCACATCCTACTTATATTATAAAGTTTTTAAGGATGTATGTTATGTGTTTGTTACTATTTCACGCGAAAACTACGAAAAGGATTGAGATAAAATTTGGAACAGAAGTAGATTATGGAAAATATGTGAGGCGAGAGAGAGTGTCAGACTCTTACTGACTGAAAACCACCCCGGTCCTACTCCTACACTTTGAGCCGGAGCCCCGGCAACCCGTTAAGTCTTCCGCGGCTGCGTATCGCCCTATTGGGCCCCATCTGTGGTAGTCTGGAGGTTGTCGTCGCCGATCACATCCCTGAGAACACGGCGGTGCTCAGCCCACGCAGAGCACACCGGCACCGTATGCTCTACCGTGTCCTCCGAGCGGCCCTCGCAGTACACTATGGTCTGGAATAACACATCGGTCACTTTTTATTGCACGGAAACGTGGGCGAAGCCACTGGCAGAAGCTAGTACGACTTAGGTCTTCCTCCAAGTAAATAATAATATAATATTTTATTCCTTTGTGGTTATTACTTTGTCTAGACACAATTCCATTTATTGCTCTATTTCACTTTTTATCTATCCTTTGAAATTCGTGTGTTTGGGACAGGTACAGCAATAGACTCGCCCAATTTTACAATGGACGCGCCCAAAGTGCGATTTTAACAATTTACCCATTCATTCAAATTGTAACTTGCAGTGTATTTTTCAATTCTAAAACTACTTAAATGTTATTGTCTTAAAAGTTTTAATTGTTATGGGGCAACTTCTTGATCCTTTGACTGTATATCATCAGACCATTGTTTATAACAATAAGGGTCACACAGTACCTATTTATTATTTGGTTTATCAGTACCTACCGTAAGCATTATGTTGACTGACCTGACCACAACAATTTTATTATACACATATTTACTGGGCTGACCTTTGACCTCTATCTCGCCTGGTGGTAAGCGATGATGCGATCTACGATGTAGCACGTCGTCCCATAAGTAACTTATTCACTCGGGCCTTAAAGACACCCAGGTTATCCTTCTGAAAATACAAACTCTGGCAAAGAATCATTAAAAAAAATATGTTGCTTCTGTTTGTGATATTAACAATTTCACTTTTATTTAAAATTCGCTGTGTGTGGTCTACTTTGTCTTAAGTTTATCTTTTCAAAGTCCGTGGGGAATTAAAAAGGACTCTGTTGTAGGAATATGCTTTTTCTATGCATTACAATAAATAGAATATTTACTGGAGTTATTTAAAGGCATTACAACTACGAATGGTATTGTATTTTTAATTGGAGCAACCAGGCATCACACTAATATTATAAAATGTGGAAGTTTCTTTGTTCGGATATTTAGATGTTTGTTCATCAATCACGCTGAAACTACTGAACGGATTTTGATGAAATTTGGTATACAGGCAGGGTATGGGCTGACTTAGATGATAGAATAATTTTAATTCTTTTTATCCTGAATAAATGCTCCCATGGTATTAAACAGGAATACCTATAGTTTCTGTTGACCATTAAAAAATAAAGTAAGTTCGAGATTTAATAAAAATACCTACTTTTTGTTCCCATGCTGGTGTCATTATAAATGTGATGCCACTGTTCTCAGAATTTAGACACTTTTTACTATGTTCTGTATCTTGCGTGTAAATTGTGTTATTACCATATTTTGAAGTATATCAGACCTAACGCGAATATCATTCTATCTTATTTCAGTAGTACAATTAAACTGTAACTTTTAACTTTTAAATGATAGAAAATTTTTATCGAAAACTGGTGTGTGGGGAGTAAATAGGGAACAATGATGAACATTTTAGAAAAGAACTAAAATGTTCCCTATCCTTGGCAAATCAATGATAAAGTAAAATGTGTGGACACCAAAAGAGATCACATTTATAAATCAATGCATTACCAAGTCAAACTCCAACCCTATTGCAATAGCAATATCAAAGAAACAAAAGGAAGTCGTGCATATTCGAATACGGGAACATAAACAATTCAATTCGGAACATCGAAGCTTTCACTAAAAGGTACTTCAAAACAGTACACAAAGACCCAAGTAATACGTGCCTAATCTCAATACAGATACAAATTACAACAACCGTACAAAGACATGCGACAATCAAACACAAAGCCTTGCCTACGAAACTAAATTACCAGAGCAATCCGCTCACCTAATAACTTCAACGGGCCGCCGTGTCACCAAAAATTTGCATTGCCAAACAAACTCAATTACGAAACGATACAAAACCTTCGAAATTTAACTTCGACAAAGTTCCAAAGCTGTATAGGGAACATTGGAAATAGAACTTAGTCGTAGTGAGTGAGAGCTTGATTGAAGCAATTCGCGATTGTTACCGATCGATTCTGAAGGCAGAGCTCGGTAGGCCCCGCCTCTTGGGGAGGTGCGGCTGCCTCGGGAGCCAGCACAGGCGCCGGACGGAGCGGCGCGTTTGATGTGCCCCCCTCCCCGCGGCGCGCTCGCGCAGGCCCAGATAACAAACGCACACAAACTCATAACGCTCCGCGCGCTCTCACAAGCCGGTTGTCAGTCCAAACCTGTTTTGCAGTGGCGACACAGCTACAGTGATACCAAAGTGAGCTCGAGAGGACAGTGCCCTAGTGTTTAGTTTTATGGACAATTGATTTGTGGAAATGGAAGATAAGCCTTATAGTGTTGACAGTTCGGACGATATCAATATCGAAGAGGAGGAAGAACATATTGAGGAAAATCATAGTGAGTGTCTATTTATATTTTATTGCAGTGCGGGATTGTTTTTGTTATGGTAATGTTATTGCGTTGATGATATAAGCAAAACAGGCTGTTCATTGTGTAGCTTTATGTTTATGTCTAACGATGATGGATGTTAAAACGGATATAGGTACATTTATATAGGTTGATATCAGATTTTATTAATATAAATTTTTCTGACTAAAAATATTTAAAAAAATAAACTTTTTTTTTTTGAGATTATATTTAAAGTTAACTTGAATAGGACGGTACGTTAGTAATATTCCTAATAATAAATAGGAATAGATTTTTTTTACAGATAAATATTTGTAATTTTCTCCCAATATCAAATTCTCCTCTAGCTCCAATTTAAGTTTTATATTCTTAGGTCAACATACTAACAATAGATTCATTATTTCCGCAGGCTATCCACCAGACTTTCCGATCGAAGCTTTAGTGAAGCTCGAGCGGCCGTCACCCCCTTTGCCGACACCGCCGCACACGCCCACCGACGACACGCCCCCAGCTGTCGTTATCTCGCGACATCAACCTTGGACACCACCCGCGCAACCCTATACCTACCCCCGACCAGCGATGCAAGCCCCCTACCCCTACGAGAAAGTCCCAGTTCAGAACTATTCGCACCCAATGTCGGCCTACGTACAAGCACAAGTCGCGACGCTCCCACCGTCGGCTCCATACCACGCTATGCTCGTAAACCAGTGGATTAGAAACGCTGCCTTTTACCATCATTCATTAAGGTACCCGGGTGTCATGGCTCAAAGAATGCCAGGCAGGAACCCCCCACCAATGCGAGCACCAGGCGTTCCTGGAACGAGGCCGAAGAAACAGTTCATTTGCAAATATTGCAACCGCCAATTCACCAAGTCATACAACCTACTGATTCATGAGAGGACCCATACTGATGAGAGGCCCTACTCTTGTGACATCTGCGGTAAAGCATTCCGCCGGCAAGACCACCTCAGAGACCATAGGTGTGTATCATCGTTTTATCTATATTTAAGTTGTTTATGTCCCTTGCTATTAAGTTTCGTGTCACCTGATATTCAGTATCAACACATTAAAGTTTATTTATAAACCTTACTTTATCTGAACCACTAAAGTTTTAAAAGTTTAACAACATTATTTTAATGGTCGATACACTGGGCGACGCAAATTTCTAAATTGACACATCAGCAAATAAGTAGGTTATATATAACCAAATCGCAAAATATCTTACTTCACTTATCTTCAAACAAACAAATCAAGTTAATGGACGCGTTATACAAACCAAACCACTTTCACTAGTTAAAGGATTACTCGATGTTGGTAATCAATATATCTGAGAGACTTCTAATTTAATTTAATGTTTCCCTCGAAATACCAACAACGTGATTTAGGACGTGTTTCACCGAGGCATTGTTGACGATAAGAGTAGAAAAAAAATTAAAAGTGTAAACCTTTTTGTGAGGTCGCGAGGCGGCGGGCGCACGCGCGCCCTCGCCAACCGGTTTCGTTCTTTACGATCACCATATCTGTCTTGCTCCGCCGTCGAACAAATTACACGTTATATTTCTTCGCTTTTACGAGACCAAAGTTTTTTTTTTCTCATATCGTATCGTATATATTAACAGTCTAATGTGTCCGTAATGTAGAATCACTTCAATTTTCATTCAAAGCGCTTATTTCGTCGCCTATTGAGCCATAAAGATGTAGATGTTTGTTTACATTGTGTACTCGCTAGAAGTGAAAGTTGAACTTGTATCTAATTTCTGTTCTCTATTTTCCAGGTACATACATTCGAAAGAGAAGCCATTCAAGTGCACGGAGTGTGGGAAAGGATTCTGCCAATCGAGGACACTAGCGGTCCACAAAATATTGCATATGGAAGAATCTCCCCATAAGTGCCCAGTTTGCAACAAGAGCTTCAACCAAAGATCTAACTTGAAGACACATCTGTTAACACACAGTGATGCAAACAAGCACCATTTAGAGCATTTGGAAGGATGCCAAGAAGTTTCCTCGACAAGTCAGTCAGAGAGCTCTTTGTTGGACCTCTCACACAAACCTTCTCCGCCCCTACCACAACAAATTCAGCCCCTAATTTCTCACCATCAATCCCCCATAGAAAGCCCAAAAAGAACTCTAGGGTTTTCGATAGAAGACATTATGAAGCGGTAATTCTCATCACTGTAAATATTTATAGTACGCTCTCACCACAATCCAGTACCTGTTTAAATTGGCAAGAGGCTTATATTCGAGTGTAAAATGATTAGTTAATTTATTTATTTACCAAAGATGTATCACTGACTGATTAGGAGAATTCTTATCGTTGATTGTCCGTTTTTCTTTCATATCTCGGCTTCGTCTTTCATTCATCACCTCACCTTCTATTTATTAACCTTATTTCATCATCACCTTCCTAAAGATTAACGCGCCGCCGAAACTCGGATCTATTTTCACTTTTGAAGACTGAAATTGTTTTTAATTATTGTTATTGTTTATTTAGATGTTTATTTATTGTGATAGATTAACTCATAGTTTATGGTTGACTAAAGTTACCGAAAAGTATTACCTTAGTTTTAAGTTTTTCTGTTCCAAAATTGTGGCTATGACATCATTGAAATCATGTTCAAAAATTAGCTGTACGATTTTAAATATAAGAGTTTTAAGTAGGTAATTTTAGTGATTGTAAATTTGTGTAAATATGTATAGTAAGTTATAAATTAAGTCGATGAGGCTACTTAGAAAATATAGATTAAACAAAATAGTAATGACCTTTATTACATTGTTTTATTTCCCTTCGTGTCTATCTGCATTACCATCTCATACTGTTTCGATTGCAGATAAGGTAATTTATAGTGCTATTAATACAAAAACAACGTAAAACATAACTATTAAAACAGTAGGTAATCTACCTACATTGTCTTTATTGACGCAATTGTTTATATTGGTAGATTTGCTGAATGATGGTCAAAACAAAGTAAATACACAAGTAAATTGAATGGGTGCTAGTCCATTTTTTTAGTTAAAGTTTTTCAGCTTTAGAAACAAACTCTCATAGATATGGATATCAAATTAATGTAGGAATTATTACGGTAGCATTAAACAAAGAGATTTCCCTCTTAACTGGCCTTTAAGATTACATTCTACTATCTGTTGTTACTAAGAGTTATGCTGTGCTGTCTACTGAGAGCACTATTGCCAAATACTTCTATATTTTTCCACTCATCGTGTTGAGAATAATAAATCTTCACCTGCCTCACTCACTCACATAATATATTAGCGGACCATTATTTATGGCCAAAGTTTAAAGAAATTTCACATTTAGAACAAAAACTTAAGTAACGGTTCCATGGCGTGTCAGTTCGCCCATTAACGAGTGGCCTATGGGCTGCTAATAGGGTTTTCACTAATTCAATATTGCATGAAGAACTTTTTTTCAAAGTAAGTACTTACTTATTTATATTTAACGATTTTTTATTAAATTTATATGAATTAACTAAGTACTTACGTAGTTCAATTTCGTTAATTAATTTAAGATTAGTTAATGAAACAATTCAAATTCAATTCTGCACCTGAAATGAAGTGATAGCAACGAAATACGAAAGACGTTTTATTTTTTAATCAAACTATGCCCAGTTTTAACAATATATTTGTATGAATGACGGACAACCCTACGCATCACACATCGTGCAATACCAAACACAATCATTATAGTAAATGTAATGAAATTAATTATAATTATAGGTGAGCGGCAGTCGAGAGCGATTTTCTACAAACCCGTTTTAATTTAGTAACTAGTATCTTTGCTAATAAAAATCGTGACGAAATTCATTTGGACATTTCAATTGAAATTATATTAAGCAAGTACTTAGACTCCTCTTGCTTTGTTATAGTGACTACGTACTTAATTATAAATAGACGTACAATAGGAATCGTTCTTTTTAGATTTATGTCATGCATTTGAATTAGTAAAACTTATTTTACTTCAAGCTTGTTTATTTCCCTTTTTATTCCGAATAGATTGTTAGTATTGTACATTTTAGTGGATTGTCCGAAGTACTTCTATAAAAATTGAATATCTAAGATCTTATTCCAAATCAATGAACTTATTAATTAGGAGTTCCCCAAGGATCAACTGTAGGACCGTAATTTACATACAGTCAAGTTTTGATTTAAAATAATCTATTCGATGAAATATATTTTATTGAAAATTAATAACATTGTTTGTAACTTTATGGTACTTAATATATGATTGCTAACTAGCTACCTATCATAGTAATAGTATTAGTAACAAATTAAAATGTAATATTTCTAACAAAAATAATTAAACTAGGTAAGGGAACTTTTGACTCACACAGAAAGATGACTCACACATTTTAATTCAAGATACAATCAAGCTCGTATCACATTCCATCCCTTAATGTAGATGATTATGTAATAATATACATTCTGTACACATTACTGTATTAAAGTAAGAGCGTTTTACAAAGTACTATAATTTTCATATACCTCAACATTCTCTCAAGGAATTATAAAATTCTTTGGTAATGATCATGTCTCGGCCGCGGTAATGGTTACGCCATCTAGTCGACGGGCGACGAACTACAGAATGTCATTTGTCACCATGCGATGTCGCTACGCGTTGTGTTCGATAATCGTATCGTTATTACGGAACATGAAAATAGTTTTTAGAATGTATTCCTTTTGCCTATTAGTATAAAGTAGTAATTACCTACATTTCAACTTAATAATAGTAAAAAATACCGTACATAATAAGCAAAAAAAATAAATAAATAAATAACAAGGATACCAAAGAAAACAATAGTGGTCTTAAACCTTGTTGTAATTATAAAATTATGGCTACTTCTTTTTTAAATAATTCGTCAACTCGTGCTAGGAATGAATAGTGTCAAAATCACATTGTTCTGCTAGAAAAAGGCAAATTAATCTCAGCCTAACGGATTGCTACTTTTTCTGGAATACACTAAAGCGGATTATTTCGAAACAATAGGAATTTTTAAGAATAAGGATGTAACGGATACTCTTTTCAAAATTTCACGTGGCTTTTTAACTTAGAATTAAAAGTAAAAATCCAACCAATCTTCTCGAATCGACGTGTGATTGATGATTGAACACTAAACTTGCATCAGCAATTTGCCAGTCAATGGAAATTGCAACAAATCCCTTCTGATTGGGCTCTAATCGCAACGCAATCGTGCATTCTTACCCCAAATCACCGCGAATTCCCATGACTATTCCGTTTATCCCATTCCAATAATTGGTTCTGTTGTTTTATGCCAATTAAAAGCAATTCGGAAGGGATTAAAGTCGAATTTGGGGGAAAATGGGGCGATAATTCAAACGATTTCGACTGTCATGGCGGCGCGCGCATGCGCAACCTGACTGACGTCGTTGATTTATGAATGTATCGCACTGATTTATCGATTGTAATACAAGCAGTTCTATTCAATTAGTTACAATCTATATATTTAATTAATGAGCTGTGAAGCCGTAGATTGTGTTGCGGTTACCTACATTTTAGATTACTACTTTATTAAGCTTGATTATGTCGTTTCAGTTAATGTATCTCAATTTTATTTCATACATACATACATACATAACCCCACGCCTGTCTGCCATGGGGCAGAGACTTCGGAACGCCAATTGCTACGATTCGTACATACTTTTTTCGCTTCTTCGACAGTCATCAGTCTTTTCATGCATGCTCGATGCTCGCCGGTCCATCGTGATGGTATATGTTCATCTAGAGTGCCCTCTTTGACACACCGGAACAACTTTATTTCAAAAATTTTTACACGGAAATAATATTATGATCTTTCTCAACCCATGCCAAAAGTACGCAGCACCTAAGTAAAGTCCCAGAGAGACACCTACTACATATCTCCCCCAACTACTTCTTTTGGTAGCTTATCGTGCTTTGCTGTTGTTAAAATAGATGTTGCTACAATCTCTTCAACAAAATATTCGTGCAAACAATTGCTATTACATATTTAGTTCATCTTTAAAATTATCTGTTATGACCTTTTGGCCTCACTCACCAATCGCGTGATCCACAAATCTAATGAAGATTGCATCCGCCCTTAGGCTAGACCAAAACGTAACGACCATCTGAAGTAGCGTATTGGTAACTTTAAAGAAATTAAATACAGATTTATTACAACTTACTACATATTTTCGATGGTTTTTGAAGAAGATTTATTTCTGGCTTTAAGCGTTTCGACCGTTATTTTGTTTTTTGAAGGATTAAAATTGGTTGATTTATTGTGTAGTGTGGACTAAGGTTAGTTTTGTAACTTGTAGGATTTTTGCCCGAGGGTGCAAGGTGTTTGGGTTCTGATTTTTGGCTGCTGGTTTATACAATGTTTATGGTCGTAATAATACTTTGATTATTATTAATAATCAGAACTTAAACGTAGTCTCGTGTTCCTAAAAATTATCAATCTTTTTTGGTAAAGTTTGTACAGAAGTAAAGTAAGACATTCATAACAAATATTTAGGTACTAGACTTGAAATTATTTATAATAATAACGTCCTTGCTAAATATACTAAAATAATGACAAAGTATTTATAATTAATCCTTGATACAATAAATTTCAACAGCTTCTAAAATAGCTACATTGAAAATATATTTCCCCTCTAGAATACAACACATCACCTTCCATACTTCCCACAGAAACGAAATCCAAATAAATTGTATGCATTTCAAAGAGCCACTCACCACAAACCATCGCACGCGCCACCTGGCGGTATCCTCACGCAATCCTGATTGGCAGCTGTCAATCATCGACGTATCAAATGCATAATAGGTTTCATTTCAGCCAATTAGAGGTCCGACGCACCCACTGCCGGTAAAATGTAAAATCCCATACAATAGCTAATGTACGATAATGTGATGTAAAGTGGTCAGGCGCAGTGTTTGTTCGTTTGTCGATCAATTTGTGGGAATGGGAGGTATGATTGGTGAAATTATTAGCATGTTTCATTTCGGTTGCCCATGTGTTTCATAGTTATGGTTGTAACTTTTGTATGCCAGTAAACTTTGTTGATGTTTTACACAATTTTCATAAGTACCTACGTATAATTTTAGTTTCTTTGTTTATAGCTGTTATATTGGGTTGTTTTGCAAGGAATATGACAGCTCTTTCTCAAAGTCCTGGTAGGAACAACACTCATACTTCATTAATTAGATAGCATTTTATAATTACTTTTTATGAACGCCACATTTTTTATGAACTTATTTTTAACTATAATTTACGGTTATTACTGATTTTGGTTTCCTGTACCATAACCTTCTGAAGTTAAAACCGATTGTCTTATTAAACAAATCGATTATTTTCAAACAATTCCTGATGTATCGATTAATTATTCGTACGGAAGTGCGGAAATATCAAGTTATAACAAACAATTTCGTGTGTGTTTAGCCATTGATATTGATTTTAGCTGTCTTACGGAAGGTCATAGTTTTGTTTGTCTGCAATTACTTACCATTTGTTGAATA